TGTCGCCCGCGTCAAGGCGTAATTACGCCAAATAATTTCCACGATGGCACCGGCACCGAAGTTAAAGCTCGTAATTAAGCGTACGCGAAGACGCGCGCGGAGGCAGCCGCCAAAAAGGATGCGATTCCCGAAAATTAATACACGCCCCAGATATTAATATACATGGAACTCGTTCCCCCGTGGCCGTACATTTTCCGAGGACGATCGTATTGCCGTCAAATGACGATAATCAGCGCGTCAGCTGCGCGCCACCAATTATTCGCGGGTTTCCTCTTTGCCCTTTTTATCTTTTTCCTTTTGGGAACTCAATGGGTGACATTATCGCCCATGCCGCATGGTGTAACGAGCATTTAATGGGTGGTCCCACCCCGCAGCTTGATTTCCATCTACGTGCCCGACAAAAAGATTTAATTAACCGCGCGGAAAACTGGGTCGCGCGGTAATGATTCGCCGGGTGAAAGGTTTGGGCTCGAAGGAAACGCAAAAGTGTGGGAGGAACGATGTACAATAACTATATATCTATTGTTGGAGGGAATCGCCTGTTAAAAACCGACGAGGTAAAGCGAGCTCCATTAACGTCGAGACGATCGCTTTTTCGGTTATTATTTCGGCGTTAATTCGTCGCTTTGCTGGGCCAAGGGCTATTTTGTTTCTTTACCACCCGAGTGTTTAATTGCGCTCAGACGCAATCTAAGAAGCAGCGTTCGAGCGTGACTGCGTGTAATCGCACTGCGAAACGAGCGAGAATGGAAATAAATGAATGCGCGACGATTCGAGGTGATTTTTGTACCCGAATATAACGCGCGCTTCTCGGAATTTTTAACCTTAATGAAAGACAATTGGGACCTCAGCACGGGAACCGCAATAATTCGGCACGAGTAACGAGCTGCTGCATAAAAAGAAACGATCTCAATTGCGTTCTTCGGAGCGCGTTGATTCGCCCGGTTTTGCGGAACCGCGACTCCCCGATTGCGCTGGGTGCTGGCTATGCATGTGTCTGTAATACATGTTCACTGAGGATAGCGTAAGATTTAACATCGGGGCAAAAACCGACGCTCGCTTTGCACGAATGGCGGTTTCATACTTCAACAGCAGAGAGTCTCGGCAAAGTTTGTCTTTTCAGCTCAGTTCGGAAACTCATCAAGCGATACTCTCTTTGAATTTTCGCGGACCACGAAAATCATTTCAGGAAATATTTTTTAGAAAAATAATTAAATTAATAAATGTTAAATGAATAAAAATAAATAAATAAGTTGGTTTAATATCACGATAATTGTCTCTCAATAATTCTCAATCTGACATACAATCGTACAGTTCTTTTTTATTTTGTTATAGCATTATATAATACCTCTGCCTAGCTCTCAAAAATCTCTTAAAAGAGTTAAAATAATCCTTTTATCTTAATTAAAATAAAAAAATTGTTTTTAAATAACTTGTAAACAATTTTACTAATCGGGCTGCGAGCTAACGGTATTCGCTGATTATTAGATTGTTCGAAGTCCTTCTTTAGAGGAACGTCGATTTCAAGGGGAACCCTCGAATCCGCGATGGCAACGCGCGGCCTTCCGATTTGTCGTCTCCGTGCCTTGAATGATCGTTCTCCAAAGCAAGTCACGCGCGAGTTCCTCGCGTTCTTACGGACTTGCGTAACGTTTAATCGGCCGACGTAGCGAGAAAAAGAGAGTTATGTTGGGCGCTGCACGTCGACGCTCGCCGACGCTCGCCGACATGAAGAATGCATCGGCGATCTGGTTGCAATTTTAGGCTCGTACACCTCTCGGTGCCCCTTTCCCCACGGACGTCGAGCTATTCGTCTGACAAATAACGCAAGTCCGAAGCGTGTTCCCGGCACGGGCGGAGCACATTAATTCCCCATATTTCAAAATTTCCGCCACGGCCAGGAAGAATCTTCCTTCTGGAAAGCGCTGATACGATTATGTGCGGTGCACGCCCAGGTATAAGCGTCATACTTTATAACGCCGGTCTTTGCGCGTAGGAGGTGAGGCACGAGAGTGAAAAATTATACCGTGATCCCTCTCGTCTTTCGCTGTCGTTCTCTTCGACAGACTTGATCTGTGAACGAATAATCTTCGCTAAACGTTCAGTAACTCGTTCAAGCAATCGGATTACCGTTTCACTCGGTATTCCGTATCGAAGCAGAAGTCGTGTGTGAGTTCACATCTCACAGATGGACGACTGATTTAATTATCTCGCGACTTTCAGTCACGTCAATTTATTTCTCTAATTTTTTGTAATTTTAGCTATAATTCACCGTAAAAATATTTCATTTTTAGCAGAACCCTTTTGTACATGGCTCCATTTTTCTGGAATAAAAAACAGACATTCTAAAAAAAACTTCAGTTTCAAGGTGCTATTTCCTGTGATTCGATATTCTAAAAGTGAAAAATCCTTTTATTGAAAAAATATTCCTCTGAATTGGTGAAAATATTCTAAACTGTTTTAATCGGAAATCTATTATTATTCTATATTATAATATCTAGATATTCAAATTTTTTTCCTTTTGAATCAAATACGTTTACTTAAAGCAGCATATCTTTTTACTAGAATTTCTATTGAGAACAAGATTTGAATTGTATAGATAAAAGCTGAAGTTCTTTTAACTTTCAGAATATCGTGCTTAGAATATTTTCCTCTTAGAAGAATCTTCCCAAGGCCACACATTTAAGAGAATTTCACTCAAATTATTATTATTGTATTTTTCGTGTGTTTTGAGCGACAATTACGCGTAAATTTCACTCGTCTCCCTCTCAGTTGGTTGATTTCGTTAAATCTCGCGAATCCGTTTACAATTTCCGTATTCGAGTTGCGCACAATACGACTAGTGTGTCAAATTTCACTATCTGCGTCAACAATGAGATAGGATCTTGGAGCATTCGCTTATTCGGTGACTTATATTCCAATTTCAATGTTTCCAAGGGCAAGAGCTCTACAGATCCCCATAGGTCATCCCGCGCAGGAGTTTCTCCCGATGGGAGCTCTGCTGACGGTGGTCATTGTCCAAGCAGATTCCCAGGCCGCTTATTACATTTCGCGACCCACCGACCGGCGTTTTGTATGCGTTCGTGGTTTTCTATCGCCGGCTCACCGGCACGAAATATGAAGGGGGTGCCATTCGCTCAAGAGCGAGCGCGACGTTTGTAATTCCGCGAGGGGTGGCTTTTTCAGAATTGGCTTCTTGCGGCAAGATAGCCGCGTTACTCTCTCTTCCCCGACGATTTCGCCGATTTCGTTGCCGCGTACACTCTCGTGACGGAAATGAGCTGACTTCGCTGGGAAGTTTCTTATGCCGCCGCGAGACGGCTCGGTTTTATTATTAAACGACGGGCTATCAGCCACAACTGTCTTCTCTCAGGAACAGGTCCGTTGACGCGGCCGAAACTACCCCGTCCTCTCTTTCTCTACACGAGGTGAACGTCCGTCGAGGTTGACGAAATGAGAATTACGCGCGGCGCAAGTCGTGCAATTTTGAAAAATTCGCTACCTGTCGCACACCTGTGCATTTCCCGATTTTCACTTTGGAATTCTCCTCGAATTACGCCCCGACGTCGCGCGAAATACCCTCACGTCGGCGGCGCGGCCAAGAAGGAAAGTTACCGGGACCATCCTGCTCGCTATTTCATTCCGCTCACGAGCGCGCGGGCTCTTTTGCCGCAAAAAGAGCGCCATACCTTACGGGTTAAAACGGAACAATGTTCCCGCGGGTCTCCCTTCCTAGACCGCCTGCTCGTGGATCGCGCTCATGCGCCTTGGGAGCGATTTTGGAGCGTCGGAGGAGCCGCGGGAGTGTGAATGGGACGACGAGACCACGACGGCGACGACGACGACGACGACGACGATGACGACGACGACGACCACCACAGCCGGCGACGTACGAGGCGCGAGGGAAAGAGAGCCGACAGAACGGACTCAGTCTGGCCGCGCGCGCCTCCGATCACTGTCGACCGTTGTTCTCGCGTTGCTGCGCGACGCGGTCGCGAATTCGGGCTCTCGAATTTTGCAAATCGATCGTCCACGCTCCTCGTCTCGCGTTTCCGTAACTCTCTATCCATCCGTCCGCTCTCCTCGCACGACACCTGCACTTTATCTCGCTTCGAAAGGTTTTCATATCGCGGACATACAATTTCTCTTTTCTTCTCCCCCCCCCCCCTCCTTCTTCTCTTTCGATTTCGCGTTGAATTTGAAAGAGCAAGGGGGACTTGATGAAGGCATACGTATGAGAATCCGGCGAACTTGAAGTCGCGTCGCGCCGGTCGAAAATAGCCCGACGGAGTTTCCTTCCCAAGATCTCTCAGCGCCGTCTCGACCACCTGCTCGCGCGCGGCCTTTAAGAGTACGTAGGCAAATGAGGCGGACAACGTTCACCGGAGATGAGGCGCGAGTAACGACTAAGTGAGAACTCCTCGCCGACGAGTTCGGAAATTTCCCCGCGCTCGGTAATCTGATTGCAAACGGACAAGACGAAAGGCGAGGTGAGTGACTTATTATCTCTACTTGCACATTTTTATATTAAGTGTTCGAAAAGATTCGAAGCTTCGAAGACAGACTTCCTCTTTAACCGGTGCAATAACAATAATTTTCTTGCCTGTCTATCCAAAGTACAAACATACGTAATGCCTTCTGTGAATTTCTCTATTTATAATCACGTTAAACACTGTGCGAAATTGAATGGCTTTTCCTCGTTAAGTGATTCATCCGCGAACAAAAGATCCTATCCATCTGTCCGGTTCTAGACGAAGTGAGACATTCACGCTAGTCCACCTCCGCTAGAATGTCAGGGATACATTTGACGGTCAGCCTAGAGCGTTAAAATAGTTTGATTGCGTAAAAACTAAAGAGCCGTCGCGAAATGTCATAGTCGCGGCTCGACGAGAATGAGAAATAAACGAACGCTCCTCGCGCGACGTACGATCGGTACGCTAGCCAAAAAAAAAAAAAAAAAAAGAAAGGAAATGAGAAAAAAAGAAATAATCGAAGATTGCACATGACAACGTGCCAAACCTTGAGAAATAAACGCTGCAAGATAAACGGGAGTTGTGAATGACTCTCGACAGAAGTGTTACCACGTGCCAGCGAAAACCCGAGCCAATAAATCCACGATGAGTCCTCACGCGCGAAGCGCAGGTCGTAATAGTAAACGAATACTCGACGAGAAAGAGAGAGGCCGATAATTTGTGGGGATTTTGTACACGTGTTAAAATATTTAAGTGCATTCAGAGAAAGAGAGAGAGAGAGATAGAGAGTGTTCAGAATTATATTAAAGATTCTGCACACGTGAAACACACAAATTTCGACAATTTTTTCGTATCCTCTGATTTATTACGCTCACCTGTTATCTGAACTCCGCGATCATCCCATCTGGCACTTGAACCAAAATTGGTTATCGCTTTAAAGAGTTTATTCATCAGGTTTGAGGGCGCCCAAGAAACGTATCAAAGGAACCACTATTTATCGAACAAAATTATATATCTGTATTATATGTATATTTCACTCTCTAAATAACATATGTTAATTTGAAAATAAGTTTATGACGCTATATTCCATTCAGTACAAACAACGATCTGGCTTAAAAATTACGTAAAAATCGTGTAGTGAATACTATTTCTTTTATGTCGTGTTTCTTAATGTGTATTATTTATAACTCAAAATAATGTCAGAATGACGAGAAAATTAACAAAAAACTCAGTTTGTATTCATGACTCGATCATTTCCTCGTCATTTCATCGTGATTTTCTGTTTTGACGTGAACACAAACGGCCGCTGAACCGCTGAGCTGTTTCCAAAAGTCTTCCACGATCTCCATGGCAGATACATGAAGCAGAGCAAATAGAGGAAACTCGGGCAGGGGGATCTATCCTACCTTTTGATCCTAAGTGTATCATGTTCAAATTCGGGATTCATTTACGAACGTGCCGAATCTATATCGACGGGTTAATGTATTCGTGTCGGCAACCGCGAGGGATGCGACGAATTCTCATGAAGAGCACGTCGACGGAAGATTACGGACCTGCCGCCGGCGAGGAATCCAGATTGGGTGAAAACCGCGTGAGCGTTTAACTCGCCCGTTTAAAAGGAAGCTAGAGGAGCGAGCGGGCGCGAGAGCGTCGCTTAATATGATCCAATTATTGGGAAGGTTGCAACGTGACCAAGTATTCACGGCTCGTCCGACGAATTACTGTACAAGTAGGCGAGAATCGGGTACGACCGTTAAACACCTTCCGTATGTTAATTCGCCGCGATGCAAATTTAGCGTTCGACACAATGCGGTCGCTTCTCTCGGTGTCGAATTTAACTTCGCGCCGCGAGGCTTCGCGTCGAAACTTCGCCGGCACTTTTAATTAGCGCGCGGCGCTCATCGAGCGGCAGAAATTAATTCTGCCAGCTTTCGTAGTCTTGGCGTTTTCGTCGATTTCGCGCCGGTGTTTTCCTCGACTATGCTCTGCGATCGTCATTTTCAAATTATCCTCCCCACTTTTCGCGGGAGATTCATTATCGCGGAGTAACTGCGCGCTAGCTGCACGTGCATCGATTCCGGTTTAAATATGTATCCCGGCCGGTGCGTTTCGACACGCATGTAATCGACGAGCAGATATTGCTTTAGCGCGCGCACATATCGCGAAGGAATGCTAATAAATCGTCGATATATACACGTAGCCTTTATTTCACGGCTGGTTACAATAGCATTACCATTTACAGACAATAACTGTCGTATTACCGGTTATGTATATCAAGCCACGCGCTACCTTGTGTATGCGGTAACTGTTGCACGACGTAAATAGATAAGATACACACACACTTCCTACCGCGACAAGTCACTCGCGCGCTTGCACGTGCACTTCCGACCGCAAACGATTCGCAACGCGATTGCGAGATCACTGTAAGTTATGCTCTTTCTCTCTCTCTCATTCGTCCTCACTGTGCCTCTCTCTATTCGTTGATTCAATGCTGGACAGCGTTGTCCGTATTACGATGCCGGCATTAATTGTGCACACACGTTTTATGTCGTGTCGATCGTCGCAGAACTAATTAGAAAATCGACCACACAGTAGAAACTGGAGGATCACGATAGCCTGAGGATCATAACGGGCGCGTCGTTGACGCAACGCGCGCGTTGAGGCGTGCCTAAAATTCTCTATGTAACGCTCCACGTGACACAGATTCAAGATCACCTTTCTCGAAAGCCAATAGTCATGACCGCAGGTGAGTCACTCTCGCTGCCGTCGTCGGGATTTCTCGATTACTCGTTTCCTGCGGCAATTAATGCCGCGGGATAATCTGATCTGCGATCGCGCGGATGTCCTAGAAACCGATTATCCATCCTTTCGCCGGACTGTTCATGTCATTATTATTTGACAGAAATGAGCCGCATCACCGTTAGAGGTCTAAACCTAGAGGTATGAACCTCTTCGAGCGCGATTCCCTGCAAACTTGACGAATCGCAACGAGCGAAGCGCGGATAAATTCGTCGCGCTGACTCGCTTGCTATCTAACGAAAAAGTACGCTCGCGTTTCGCGAAATAAAATTTCTCCGGCTGCGCCGCCGCGGGGTCCTGTTCTGTCTCATAAAGCGCAATCTCATACGCGCCGCGGTGATACGACGGCGGAAGGAGAACGGGAGCTGTGTGCAGTCGTGTCTGTAGCACGCCCGATGAGATTCATCAGATTCCACCCGATGCAACGCGATAAAACCTAGCGCACGCCGCGAATAGGGTCACGCACGTAAATTTTCTTCTCGTTTCTCTCTCTTCACGGTTCTTCTTTTTTTCTTGTTTTTTTTCCTCCTCTATGCCGCGCATTTTCCCGAGGCCCCATAAATTTTCGTCGCGTGAGCGCGTATCGCATACCGATATGTGTGCACTTTAAATGCAAATCGGTATCATGATGCGCAATGTCTATATATAACGCGGCGTAATTTATATTCTTTCGCGACTTCCTCTCTCGCGTACAATCTTTCATCTCCATTGTTACGATTACGTGCGTTTTTTTTTTGTTTATCTATTTTCTTTTTACCTTTATTTCTCTCTCTGTCCTCTTCTTGTTTTCTTCTCCTTTAATTTTTTCTCCTTCTCCCTTTTTACGCGGACTTTAAGTACGCATTTGCGTCAGCGTCGTCGAGGCGGCGAAACAAGCGACGATTACTTGTCCGCAGGATAATTGGCCGCAGTTATGCAAGAATGATCCAACTCATGAAATTGTGGTTTTTTAGTTTTTGCCACCAATGAGTAGTTCATAAGCCTTTCTACGTAAGACCCAAGTCTTATGCCTGAAATTAAAAAAGCAATTTTTACTTTCTACTAATTGCGTCTTTTTTATTCATTTTTAAGGGTTAAGCTTGTCAATAGATATCCTTGAGGAGAAGAAAATTTGTCATACTTGGTTGTTTGAACGATCGCGAAGAACCTCAGATAGTGTTATCTATGCTCTTTTCAAATACTAAATTCTTATCTTTATCTTTCTCGAAACGTACTACATACATCATTCTTGCCTAACTATACGATCACCCCTCGTGATTCATTGATAATTATGTGCGACGGATTATATTAAACTCTTGTCGGCCGTTTTCCTCCTCGCTGTTCTCGCTAAAGTAACGCATTTCCTTTTCTAAAAAAGTTCTAAATATAGCTTAGACAACAGCGTGTGCAGCAACGCGTTCCACATATGTAATAGAACGGGTGCGTAAGTACGTGGCCGTGTCGTGCTGTGCTGTGCGACTGCCCATGGCGAATTGCAAAGCGCTCGAAGAATACCCGAGGCGTTCGTACCTCGGGGTAAATAGTAATAAAAACGTGCAACGCGCCGCATTACTTTCTCCGGCGACCTTTATATACGCCGGTGGCCCGATTCCAAATCTCAGAGACGTCTTTCCCGACGGTTTTCGCCAGCAATCTGCCGGCAATTAACGGCAAAATGCGAAATAAAAAGCGCGGAAGGTCGCGGCGATAAAAGGGACATTCATTCGCGACCGAGATATTCTTAATGAAACGCCGGGAGGGGGAAGGACTATCGTAGTTTCCAGTGAACGACGGGACGACGTGATACTTCACGTTTCATCAAATGCGAGATTGAAATATGCGCAGAAATACACTCGCGCATGTGGGATTTATTTTGTTACGCAAGGTAAACATTTTTCAAGGTAAACATTTTTCGCGAGGAAACAAAACTGCTTCTCGAATTGCATTTATTCGCGACACGCATTCCTGATATATGTCACGGCAGGCAGAACGTTTATTTACATTTCCACGACGTGACGATAATGAGGAAGGGATTTAGGTCAAACGGAAGCGATTTGAATATCACGCTTTGTTACATGAATCTACCTTGCGAAACGGCCGTTCGTAATGATCTATCTATGAAATTATTTGGCACATGAATTTCATGCTATATTCGTACAACTAAATTCGTAGAATATGAATCTGATTGAAACTATGAGCATCGTATAAAGAAAAAAGTTAGTAAAGTTCACGCGATAGTGAACGAATCGAACGCGTTTGAAGGAAGAAAAATTTCTGGTTCCGAAAATCAAAAATTCGATTTCCTTCAACGAAAACGCGTTTGGCCCGTTCACTGTCACGTTAATTCAATCGAATCTTATTCTTTGTGCTGTAACGTTTCTGATCTCGATAAGTGTGCAGTCGTGTTGTCATTGTTCGAGAACTGACGATGTACACACAAAAAGCGCATCATCACTGCAAGTGTGTTATTTTGAATCGCGTGTAATTTGTTTGAAACCTTTTTCCAAGTTTCTTGTGCTTTTGAGTCATTTAAACACGTTTAAACGACGCGACTTGAAAAAGAGACGTGGCAAAAGGGATTTAGTCAAAGTACCACACTTGGCTTCGCAGTGATTCCTCTCTCACACATACACGCACGCACACGTACATGCACACTTAACTTTCATGGCTCTCTATTGGCAAAAAAAATCACGCTCCATCGTACGGGAGATCCCGCTATGTTCGCGACGAGAGACCGTAATCTCCACACTTTGTCTTCCATCCTCCGCGCACACCAGACACTTTCAGTCGCTTGGCCGCTCGTTTGCGCCCTAATGAACGGTTCATTAGCTGCACGACCTTAAATTGTGAACGTAACGTGCGGATCAGCGCAGATCCGCGAAGATTAAATTCGCTCGGCCGCCGCTTTGCCGAATCGGCGCGAGACGAATGGGACCGACGATTGTTCGGCGGTGCAATAAATACGCTTTTGCAGTCGCTTAATATTATCTCGTTTATGGCCTCGGTCCCGATACGCCTTTCACGATTTCTTTCGTGAGATGATACAAAAGAAACGAAAGATCGCGAGAGGAAGAAAGAAAGGCTGATATGTAGAGGTGGGTGACCGCGCTTAATTGTCGTTGCGGAAAGAACGCGTGATCGGCCATTCGGCGCGGTTGTCTCCATGTCCATTGTGAGTTCTAAAGATTCACTTAGGAACGGCTCACGCTCTCGGCTTGATAAATACAAGTTCTCGATCGCGCAATAAGGCTGCTTATTGATTGCAACTCGGCGATGAGTAACGCAATTATTTTCGTATGATGAAACAGCGATATTAACAACGAACTACTAATATCGCGATCTTTGCCCCGCACGCTACATTTTCTTTTTATTTTTATTCACGACACAGCACGATTTCCGTAAAAGCGAGCATTTTATTTCTTACAGCTTGTAGTAGTGAGATTATGTGTATCAGTGTCCTTTGCAAAGATGGACGTTTACACAATATTCTGAATGCCGTTTCACACAAAACTCACACACACTTCCATTAATCTCTCACATTTTACGAGAGTTCCTCAGCCGCGTCTTAACGAGGCTTTCCCTGACGCTTGCAGTTTGTCAGACCGGTGACTGAGCTGCGCTACAGAAAGAAAAGTTCGTAAATTTTCCAACTGTCACGGAAAAAAGCCGCAGTCGTAAATCACGAAACGGCAAGTTTGAAAACGCGATCAATTACGCCCACAATTCTTTTTTCTTCTTCCCTCTCTCTCTCTGTTCTATCTCTCTTTCTGTTACACGCAACGTAATGCACGGCCGTCGAGCAAAAAACACGGACTGGATTAGTCAACCGTAATTAGCGTCACGAGTTTTACGCGCCGACGGGCTCGCTGTCAAAACGTCGGCCTGGGGGAAGTCTGGGCGCGATCGCTAACAACTCGCTGCGTTGCGCGCTCCTCCGGTTTCGCAACAAAATGTAAATCGGAGTAAAAATTCTCTCACCGCCGTCACTCCCCCGGGCAAGTTTCTCTGTACTGTCGGCTTAACCCTCGAGCGTGCTCGTGACTTTTCGATGCGTAAACACGCGCGCGCGTGCCCGCTCTATCGTGAACGCGTGCGGTTCGTTTTGTCCAGTTTTCGCGGCTCGCGTTCAACCGAAATAGCCTCCACCTCCGTTAGTTAAATGTTGCAGGCATTCGTACGCGCGGCGAGTGACGCACCTAGATGCAAATTGATTTCGATAATACCTGCGGGTACGTGCGCACGTGTTGTGTTCGCTGTCAGTATTTACGAACGTTAGGGCGAGGGCCATACTTGAAAACTTTGCCGACAAAATACCTTTTCCTGCAAAGTTCACGTCGCTTTGGCTGCATACACAGTTACAAACGCTTTTACTGAAAGTACATAGGAGCTCAAAAGAATATGAAAAGTTTGCAGAAAGATTTTCACAAACGCGTGGTTATGTCTTCTGTTAGCGTGGTGAAACAAAGCAACACATATTTATATAAGATCTACATGTACAGGAAGTACAAAAAGGTATGATCGTGTCAGTGACGATCGCCTTTATGTTGTCGACATTTTTCGAATTTATCATCCACTTAAATGTTAGTAAAGTTAGAAGAGAGTTGCCGAAATCATAGGCGTTTCTTAAATCGCATCTCATCAATCATATCTGATTTTTTTATGTTTGCAGCTCGCATAAAATAAGATATAACCTGACAATTTTTTGTTTAAACACTTGTAAAAACATTGATGAGAGGTATGATTTCGGCAACTTTCCTCCAATCTTTAATGAAATTGTTTGAAAACGAACGACGGAGCGTTTCATTGAATTCCCCGTGAAACTCCTAATCGGACGATCGATGTTCTCATACATATTTACAGCATATGTTAATTGATTCGGATTTAAGTGGATCATAATGAGTTTGACGAAGGTTAAATACGTTAAAACGCTGTGGCCATTAAGTCAATTGCCTTGTTAATCGTTGCATGTAACGTCACGCGATTTTCTGTCGAAACGAGACCGCGGTATGAACATTTATCCGGCATAAAAACGCTATCCGTTCTTTTAAGCCGATAAAAGTGCGCAATTGTCGTAAATAACGCGGCCAAGTAAATCTCTCGGTGGCATCGCTTTTAAAATCGGATGGTGCCGGCTCGCAGCTGAAAAAGTGGTACCGCGCCCCGTTAACCGCATTAATTCAGCGGCCGCGCCGCTCGTTAATTCGCCGATTGCATTGCAATTGGGTGTGCGAGCGCGTTACGTTTTGACGGGACGAGAATTGACTGTCAAAAGTCGGCGCGGGCAGTCGCCGTGAGATTAAGCGACGACAGATCCACAGTTTGTCACCCGAAGACGTCCGGCCAATCGAGGACGCGACGCGGACGTATACACGTGTTTTAAAACTCGCGAAAGTACGTAGCGCGGCGCGGTTTTTTGCGAGGAGAGGAAGATTGAATGAGGATCCTGCCGTGCGCGAAACAACGAAGACGAATCACAGAGGTTCGCAAGATGTATTTGAAGAGGTGAGCAATAATCTCTCAAGATGTGAATACACACTGTGTATGAAATGTGTCGAGATGAATAATAATCAAGAAAAATTAAGGAAATGGTTTAATTAAATTGGTTTCTTGCGAAACTTGCCAGTGACTTGAGTGGAAAGATTTCCAAGACGTTGAGCGTATTTGTTAACGTTTCTTAGTATCTTAGGTGCAAGTGAGGGGAGACTTTTACAAACTCGGGTTGTTATCTTCTCTTTTTTAACCAACACTTTCATCATTATTTTCAATCTCCCTATTCTGAGAATTCGATCACAACGACAAGACTTACACCCGCGTCTGCAACGCGCCGCCGATTCCGATCGAGTCCGCTAATTAGCCCATGCGCGGATGATAAAGGTCCCTTCTTCTTACCGCAAGGAAATTTACAGCTGCCGGCGTACACGGGTGCTCGTGAACAGTGAAAGCGGCGCAATTTAAGAACGGTCCGTCCGGGGTTAATTGGCTCGCTGCCTTTGGACAAACGTGTAGCGGCGTGCATTACGCGGCACGCACTCTCCCCGCGAATTACCTTCCACCTCGCGTGACGTTTGCCCGCTGTGTGTACGCGCTGTACGTACCTGCCGCTGCTCCTCCTCGCCTCTCGTCGCGAGTAATGCCGAGAAGGGCGAATCGGCGGCGGTCAAAGTGCAATTTCCATCGTAGGCCGGGACGGCGGCATTCCCACGCGATCGCACGTCGTATGAGAGCGATTATCCACCCACATCTGCATAGCGAGCCCAAAGGGTTATCAATCAACCTCCGCGACTCAGGACGACTCGCATCGGCGCCTTTTTCATGCAATGAACGTGGGGAGAGGAGAAGGGGCTTGCGAATCCTTCAACGTCTCGGCGAGCGGCGCGTCCTTGACGCTCACTTTACGCAACGCTCCGTGGACCACCTAAAACGACTGCGCGCGTTCCAACGACCCGGCGCGCTTTTGACGCATTATTTAAAATAGACCGCTATTAATAATGAGCCGGACAGCGCGCGCACACGCGACCGTCGTTGTACTTCCGTCTCTGTACGAGAGCCGGTTGCGCGACGGATGACACCCTCCGACGATCCACCCGAGGGCGTTGGATTTCGTCAACACGATCGCAACGCGTGCCGCATATCGTTACATAATGTCTTCCTCGTCGCCGGTTGAGGCGAACATTTATTCGTCGGCAGACAACCTTTATAAGTCCCCGTGACTGGCGATAAACTTCAGAGTACTCCGGAGCTCTCTTCCTCGCCGTCCCGGAGGAGACGATCGCGCGTGTCTCAAGAAAAGACTCGGAAGGGAACGTTTATTAGGAGTGAAACTAAGGGAAAACGCCCAGTAGAGCCGGCACTCTCGCTCGAATCCCATCCAATATTCTATTTATTTTTGTTTTAGATTTATTTCTTGGATTATTATTTTGGGATTTATTAATCACATATTGATTATTCACCAATTATTACTTATTATTTACTCGTTATTTATTTTCTTATAAATCCCTGTATATCTTATCATATATGCGACAGCATTCGCGCGAAAGTGCTGAAACCGGATAGAGTGCCGAATGTTTTCCCCGTTAATGCACGTCGGATTCTCACGGAGATTAATTGCTTTTGCGGGATGGCAGGAGATTCTCGAAGCGCTGAATTAGCCGCTGAGATGGAAGACACTTGGAGGAGAAGCAATGGCCTGCACACGAGGAGCGAGCGGTTTCCCGTTTTTACCGTATTGAACTCTTATAGACGAGTGACGTCACCGAGGAGGAAGGCACATCTCGCGCGAACGCCGGGGAGACGCGGAGGAAGTGGAAGTTAGGTACACCGTGGGAGATTGATGGGGTTTATTGCAACCCCGCGGAGCTTACTGCTTTCATCCATTACCCGCGTTACAGGCACTCACCTGCAAACTCGTGCTCTTACGGATAAACTTAGCGATCGAAAGACAAACCGCCGCTGCGGAGTTGAACTCTATACGGCTCTACGTGCCGACTGTTGTTACGCGAATTCATTATCAGTTAGAAGTGAGCGCAAGCTCGACTAGGTGAAGTACGTACTTCCCGTGAGAATACGCGCGATAAAGGCATGACGTTTCGCGGAAGCGGACATTGATACGCATTCTGATAAGGACGGGAGATCTCTCTCCTCTCATCGACGCAGTCCTCCAATTCCTCCACGATAAGCGGCATCTTAATTAATTAAAGTGAAATTTAATTAGCGCAGTGTGCACCTGATAAGTGAGAAATGATTTTAATTATCGTCAAATGCAGAGATAATTACATTTATTCAAGTGGATACCAATAGAACTGCAAAGGCTCCTAGATATTTTTCTAATAAATGTATAATTATCTCTTCATTTGATGATAACTCGATCATTTTTAGCTGATTGCACTACAGCACGCAGTGTGTATACCTGATAAGTGAATGATTTTAATTATCGTCAAGTGCAAAGATAATTACATCTATTCAAGTGGCTCCGAATAGGAGCGAAAGGTCTAGATTTTTAAATAAATATAACTATCTCTTCATTTGATGATAATTGATCATATTTAATCGATTGCACTACATGATACTCTCACGGGTCCTTTTGTTCTCCATTTGTGATTGAATATCAAAGAGCCTTTTATCTTTCCATTTCTACTCTCTCTAATTCTATATTCGTTAAAATAATCTCTGAAAATACCTTCCTTCGTGTCTTCGCGCGCTTCTGTGACTCAACAATTGTAGAGCTGTCGCCTTTGGATCTTTGCGAAATGTTTCTTACATAAGAATTGACTCGAGAGCGATCACGGACGATCGAAAGAAAGCGCGATCGACTCGCGGGACTCTCTGTATCTAACTCGAGGCTTATGCAATATGTATCGACGGTGCTTTCTGTGTGCGTGAAGGCTTCGCAGCTGGGCATGCTACTGGCAAATGTGGAAAGGGCGTGTCTGCTTGTGACGGCGATCCACGTTTTGCTCGGTACGTACGTCGACGCGGAGACCTTCACTCTGGGATACATCACCGGCTCCAAGCGACGTCCAGACGATTTCGAGTATCACCGCCCGGGTTTCCGCATCTCCGGGGCTATGACTCTCGCCGTGGAGGAGGCGAGTGTGCCCGTCGTAATATATTACCGGCTCGACCGCAATTAGCGTTTGCACGGAAGTGGATAATTAAATTTAACAATTCCAATCGCGCGGAAACACGATTATCCCGTTTGAGCATCGATTACGCGAAATTGGAGCGGCTTGCGGTTGATACGCGGAAGAACGTGTCCGGTTTATCGTTCGCGGAAATTGCGCAAAACACGATCGCGCGATTAGCGGTGCCGTTTAGAGAGTGCTTGGTAAACACGCGGTCGGATATTCGCGGGATCGTTCCATCCGTGCAAGGTGCAATTGCGAGGAACGCGAGCTGTGCTCGCGTGAACATCAGACATCGCGAGACTTTTGCTGACTTTGCCGATTCGCCGGACGAAAAATCGAGAGATAAATCGAAAACAACAACGCGCGGCCGGGATCATCCCCGAAGCGTTCTCGCCCCCGAGACATTTGCCTTAGAGACGTCTCTACTTGATACGCAGGTGAACGCTGGCGAGCTTGGCGAGCGCGGCCACAAGCTCGACTTCGAAGTGCAGGAAACTTACGGCGAAGAGCAGACCAGCATTCTAAGCACTGCGGTACTCTGGACGAAAAACATCAGCGCTTATATCGGTCCGCAGGAGACGTGCATTCACGAAGGCAGAATGGCAGCGGCATTCAACATACCGATGATATCCTACGTAAATGAACTCTTACATCATAGCAATTTCCGCACTTAGAAAAATGAAGATCCCGGTCTCTTTCTCGCGATCAAAATTTTCTCCGCTCTTCTTCCGCATTGTGTAACGCTTTTACGAGCGGATTGAAGTCCGCGAAGTAGCATTTTTATTTGCATCTCGAATTCTCGCCATGCTATGTTCTCTCATTTGTTCCGAATTGAATCTTGACAGAACGGAGAAAGAAAGGAAGGAATGAGTGAGACGCAAAAAGGGATGAGCGAGCGGAAGAATTAAAGAGGAATTTCAACGATCATTCTTTCGTTTTGCTTTCTCCTTTTAGTTTTGCACTCATCACGAAACGTCCAACAAGAAGGATTTCCCGACATTCGCGAGAACGCGGCCGCCCGATACGCAAATCTCAAAATCCGTCGTATCCGTCCTGCTGGCGTTTAACTGGACCAAAGTAAGTATACACTGTCGCGTGCCTTGATGAACGCGCGTCTAATGTCGATGAGATAACAAGCCTTGGCCACAGGTGCCTCGCTCTACACCTCAGCTACATTTATCGCCTCGGCATTTCGTCTAGGTGACCTTTATGTATATGAACGCGAGCGTATACGAGTTCAACAAAATGTCAACGGTCGCAAAGACGATTCTGGCGTCGTTCGAGGCGGCTGGCATTAGTTTGAATCACGTCCGGTGCTGGGAGGAGCCTCATTACACGACGCAAACGCTCCTGATGGAAAATCGCACAATGGCTAATCGCACAATAATGGAAAATCCGTTCCATGCGCACGTCGAGGACACGTATCGCGACACGCGAAGTAAGTAGTGAATATGTCTCTTGCGACAATCGTTGTGTTTATCGATTTATTGAGAAAACAATTGGACGATGAAGCGCGAAACGCATCATCGGCGATTCATCTTCGAGTCACTTGATGCTAAATCACTCGACGCCTCTTCCGATTCGGAAGTTTCGCTTGCCCTTTGCCAATTGTCCTTTCCCCAATCGACTCGCACACGCGACTCAGAATAAACTACCCGCATTTCGGTTTGATACATTCATTACCGTGACACGACAGCACGAAACCTGCATGAGGAAACCCGCATATTACGGCTACGTCATGTCGTCCCGGCTTCTGAATACAACATTGCTCGCCTCATTAGTCACGTGCATGCGCCTATTTAAACACATTAAAACCGGGCTCTAAAAATAAGCGCGACTTCTCTCTCTCCACGCGCGAAGCCGGTTTTAGCAATTCCCGTCCCGATAAAGCGGGCGTGATCAATCCGGAAGGAACTTTTAAATACGGCATTTTCTTAATGAGAACGACGCACGTGTTGGATTGCAGTTTACGTGATCGTTGGCCATCATTATGAGCACGTGGGCCTCTTAATGGCGCTGGATGAAAAGAACCTCTTGGAAAAAGGTATAAATATTCTGCCTGTAACAATAATCAGGTACATATATTAGAGAATTGGCCGTCATTAGATGTAGTTTTGATGTTAACTACGTTGCGCAATGCAGAATCCTTTGATATTTGCCGTTGTTCAAGTCTGCAGTTTGATTGAGCGGGATTATCGCGATGAGAAAGCCGTCTCGCTTACTAATTCGCACATTTATCGCGCTCTTATTATACTTTCATTACGTAACAACGCGTAAATTTTCAAGTGGGTACTCTTTGAAGACTCGTCATCATTCCTCGTGTAGTCTCGTAAATTCTCGACTGTTTCTCGCCGTGCCGTTTTTGTTGCACGGCGAAAGAAAACACTCAGCGATTTGATGCCGCAGGCGAATATTGGGTTGTCGGTGTCGACATCAAGCAATACGATGAGCAGCAACCGGAGCACTACCTTCGTGGACACTGGCAGTGGAATCGAATGGAAATGAATCTGTCGATAAAAGCGTATCGTAACTATTTCAGTATCGTTGCATCGGCCCCGATTGACATAATGAAGTTTGCTCAGAAAGTCAACGATCACAGGCAGAAGCCGCCGTTCAATTTTGCGAATCCCGTGGGAAAAATGAAAGGAATAGTTCAGGTGACTACTAGAGATCACGGTATTACGAAATTACACTCTTCCACGTAAATTTAAGCTCCTATATCAATTCACCATCCTTACGTTCCGGCTGATTCTTTAGCGTACTTTTTTATGATCTTTGAACTTTCTCATATGTATCAAAGGATGGATCGGTGAAAGATACAAAACGCCCACCGTGCTATTACTTCCCGGATCGTACGTGTGAATTTTATTTTAATTGTGTCACTTATCATTTAAGTAAACAAATCACTCAATTTGATCAATTACATGTCTCGCTATATTTTCTGATTATCGTTTATTTTTCTGTTGTAAAATATTATATCATGAAACAAAATATTAAAAAATTGTCCCTCGTATCATGATCAGATCATAAATCATACCGCACCATATCACATTAATGATATCATATTAAGTCTAAAATATCACATAAAACGAGAAACGTTATATTTTTGCAGTGCAGCGGCTCGTTAACGGGCGATCAACGCAAGCCGCATTGAAACATTGTACGCTAATCGCGTGGCCGCGCATCACGGGCAAATTGAAGCTCGCGATTACGTGCGGCTCCGCGTATTACCATATTACGCTTCGGAATGCATTATAAATAACAACCTGCTCGATGCGTGCACACTCGCGCGGGCGAATCCTCCGAAATTATCACACTCGTTTCACCCTGTCATTATCGTCCACGGCCGCGACGACTCGTCAATCCACGTAATTCGGCCCGCGGTATCTCCCGGACGAATCGCCCGGCTTCAGTCGCTTCACCCCCGATTTCGAGAGTGATCGTTATTTGTGTTATAAGGCAGATCGTGCCGGAGACGGCGTACCTGTACGACGCGGTGCACCTTTACGAAAGATTGCTGCTGCGCGCTCTGAAAGAAAATCGGGACCCACGGAACGGACGGGAGATGATGTCGACGCTGCACGGGGCCCATTATCAGAGTGCGATGGGGTACGTACATACGTAAACGTGCGGAGCACGGGAGGCAGAAAGAGCACGGAATAAGACGGCGCGAGCGAGATCACGCGGCGCGCGTCGTAACGTTTTACGACATGCAAATCAGATGCCTCAACGTCACCCGGCAATTTCTTGCTGAAAAGGCCCGACCGAGGCGTACGCGTGCCCCTCGGTATATTTTCGGCGAAGTAATTAACCGTTTGCATGCCGTAACGAGGTCGTCGAAGTCGGAAGCTAAGCGATTTATCATCCGGCATCGCCGCGCTAAGATTTGCGGCGCGGTGATTAAGGCAGAAAATTATTCGCGTCCTCCGCGAGAACGCGCGCCGGCGGCGGCGGCGGCGAAAAAAAGAGTTCGTTCGGCAATTAAAAATGATCGTTACGCGCTTTATGACGACGAGACAGCGCGGAAGAGGGAGAAAGAGAGAAAGACCCGAACGGGATCCGAGAGACGTTTCAATCGCTTCGTCGGATCAGCCTCAGACGTTGTGTACGACTTCGTTACCGGGATGCCTCACGAAACTGGGTTTTCGGGTTCGTTCATACTTCATTTCGCGCGTTAAGTCCGCGGGAAAATTACCACGTGCCAATAACGTGTTATACGACGACTCTTTTGGACGAAATCAATAATTACCAAGCATAGGAGGAAATTCGGCTCGCCTTTTATTTCTTGTGAAATATACGGCGCTCTGATGTACCTCCTCGATATAAATTGGTCGATAAACTTGGTCATACCTGCGCTAGAAAGAGAGAGAGAGAAAGGCAGCTTGATAGCGGGATTCGCAATCGCTCTCAATAATCATAAACTCGAGTTCAAGGGAGAAAAAAGAGCGATCGAAGTAATCTAAAAAGAATCGACGATACGTGTATTGCTGCGGAAACAATATTGATTGATGCCATTTTACGTCGAATTTCACTGTGAGCCTATTCTTTTATTATCGACAAAATCTTTTGCAGGATAGGATCGGGAAATATTGTGCTCGACAAGGAATATCATTGTTAATTTCTTGCGGATATCTTGAAATTAGCAAAGTCATGCTAACTATTACAGACGCGGAATTCTCCTAATGACAATTAAACGTCCTCGCGTTACAACTACCTCGCTACACGCGAATGTCTATGCAATCAGCTTACGTCAAGTTTAACGGAATTTGCAGATACATGGTGTACATGGATGAGAATGGAGATGCCGAGGGCAATTACACTCTGATTGCGTTGGATGAAAGACCTACGCGAGGCTACGGACTGTATCCAATAGCGTACTTCGTCGGCAAAGAGCAAGGCACGAATTTGCCGGTAAACGAGCCACTTTCTTCGGCACAACGTTTTTTCGTATCTGAGAAAAATTACTTTTAATTAACGGATAAATTAAAAGATATAAAGAGGATACAAAAGGGCCAAAATGCTGATGCTGTATGCTAGAATTTAATCACAAAAATCAATATCATTTTCGACTTAGTTGGCGAATAAAGAGATGTTAAAATTGAGATAACAGCCAACATAATTGTACACTCAGTTGCGCTGATGCTATACTATACACTAGATCGATAATCACTAGAAAATTCCAACCAGCCGTGTCCCTTTCTAACTGATCGTTTCTCATGACTGTTGATTCATTAGGCAAGCGGGAATGTATCAAAACAGAAGTGACATTTTGACAGCTTGACGTTTCTTACATACGTGTTTTTATCAGAAGGTTATCCACTCACGTGTAACGCGCAATCAGTAGAAGAGGAGTAAGAGTGTTAAAAGTAAATAAGAAATATTTTTAAATATTTTTTTTACATAAAATATTTTTTCCTAATATATTAAAGTAGAATGTTTATTAAAATTCTGAAGCGCTTATCAAATAACGAATCGTTTGAGAAAAAATAGCATGAAAATATTAAAATAAAGTATTAACACGAAAAGCTATCAAAATAACTTCTATTTTGACACATTCCTTGCCGGGCGAATCAACAATCATGAAAAACGATCAGCTAGAAACGGACACGACTGGTCGAAACTTTCTAGTGACTATCGATCTGGTGAATGGTATAGCATCAATGCAACTGAGTGTACACACTGATATATATTATATAACTTCTCGGCGTACATTCTTTTGCGTTGACTGAAGAGGACCGCATATTACGGTCGAAACGTTTCACTTTCTAATTGATTTTTGTGATTAAATTCTAACGCACAACATCAGCATTTTGGCTCTGCTGTCCTTTTTATATCTTTTAATTTATCCAATTTTAGAACCGTTAGAACGTTTTATTACTTTTAATTAATGATTATTAAATGGGAAAAAGTTTATTTTTTTTAATTAACCAAATTTCTGGCTACCAGAATTTTATTCGAATTAACAAGATTTGTGGTTGAACAGAATTCTAGTAACTTCAGCCAGAATTTTTTGATTCATTCATATTTTGTTTATATTAAAAACTTGATCGATCCAACCAAATGTTTTTTTGTGCAAGGATACACAGCAATATTATCGGTTTTCGTCAAAACGAAATAACAGTGATAACTCTAATCCGCTATCGAGTTAGCTTCCAATCTAATTAAATGTTTAATGACTTGCAGAAGCTTCGATTGACCAAGCAAATATCGTGGGTTGGGGACGGACCGCCCGTCGCGGAACCTTATTGCGGATATCACGATGAAAAATGTAAATGTAAGTAAGGTTTAATCATTCTATCATTCTCTCGCCAGCATTTCTTCGCATCCACGTGACTCACTTGGGCGATTCTCCTCGGGAGGATTAATATATTTCTGTCGCAAAGTAAACGCGCGCTATCGCCAGAATATGTGCTTGGATTTCCGTTGTAGCTTATACCGGCGAGATTGTGGGAGGCATCGTCGGCGGATTGGCGTTCATTATCGCGGCGGTCGTACTGATCCTCTACAGAAACTGGAAGTACGAGCAAGAATTGGATTCCTTGCTATGGAAGGTAAACTTCAAGGACATCCAGATCAAGGAGCAGAAGAAGGACGAAGTGGCGGGAGCCAACGAGGCGCCCGCCAAATGCAATTCCAAGGTAACTGCCCGCTCCGACGTTGCTGCTCGTATTCCCGTGGAAATTCTCTTCTCGTGCCCGACGTTTCCCCGGCGTGCTTGCTTCCATCATCTCTCCCCGAGCAATTGGTCGAACTGAAATCGTTCGCGCTTGCGAGACATTTAGCTCGCTTGCTGCTTCCGCGTCGTTGACCTCTTGTGAAATAATCACGTCGCGGAAATTAGGAAATAGAATAAAAAATTATACTTCATCAGTTTCTTTATTATTATCGAATATGAACGATACCAAAAGTAAATGAGCAAAATGAGAAATATTTAATATTTTCATGCTATTTTTTCTCAAACGATTCGTTATTTGATAAGCGCTTTAGAATTTTAATAAATATTCTACTTTAATATATTACGAACAAATATTTTATGTAAAAAAAATATTTAAAAATATTTCTTATTTACCTTTAATATTCTTACTCCTCTTCTACTGATTGCGCGTTACACGTGAGTGGATAATCTTCTGATAAAAACACGTATGTAAGAAACGTCAAGCTGTCAAAATGTCACTTCTGTTTTGATACATTCCCGCTTGCCTAATGAATCAACAGTCGTGAGAAACGATCAGTTAGAAAGGGACACGGCTGGTTGGAATTTTCTAGTGATTATCGATCTAGTGTATGATATAGCATCAATGCAACTGAGTGTAAAATTATGTTGGCTATTATCTCAATTTTAACATTTCTTTGTTCAGCTAAGTCGAAAATGATATTGATTTTTGTGATTAAATTCTAGCACACAGCATCAGCATTTTGGCCCTTTTGTATCCTCCTTATATCTTTTAATTTATGCGTTAATTAAAAGTAATTTTTCTCGGATACGAAAAAAGGAATTTCTAGACTAAATTTTATTTTGTGTGTGCAACAAACTTCTGAAAAAATTAATTGATGAGGTGCGATTTTGGAGATCGATACGATTCGGCAACTCTCCCCATCACAACATGAGCTGTACAAAATAAATAACATTTATCGTTCTTTCTAATTGTGCAACGAAAAATGCAAATCGCGATTAGTAATCCTAAATTAAAGTGAAATTAATCGTAAAAATAATGTTAAATATATCGATCTGTTCTCGTTGATGAAGCCGCCAACAACGCAACCTATAGTGCGAACTAGTCAAGTCTCGTTGAGCTCGAATCCCGACGCGGATTTCCGTTACTCCATGATTTACACGCAAATTGGCGTGTACAAAGGACGGATATTCGCGGTGAAGAAAGTGAGGAAGAAATCGATCGAGATCACGCGGGAGATGAAGAAGGAGCTGAAAATGGTAACGTGCAATCGATGGTTTCAGTTCAATTATCGCGCGCTGACTATCGTTGAGCAATCATATTGAAACATCCGCGCTCGTTACGACAGCATTATGTACTTTCAGATGCGCGATTTGCGGCATGACAATCTGATTTCTTTTATCGGCGCGTGCACCGATCCACCCAATATATGCATCGTCGTCGAGTACTGCGCTCGTGGCAGTCTCAAGGTCTGTAATTTTTACGTAATTTATGTAAGATTATTATTTTAGTGCACATTGCGTGTGCTGATCGATATTAATGCCCGTTAATATCCGCAATTTCGAAATATCCGCGAAACGCTCAAAGCGTCTTCTTTTTTCATTTCAGGACATACTGGAGAACGAAGACATAAAACTCGATAATATGTTTATGGCGTCCCTCGTCGGCGACATCATTAGAGTGAGTTTCCTCCAATTTTGTCCCGGCATTAAAGCGCCTTCTTGTCTCCAAACCTCATTCGACGGACGATATTTTTTCGCTAAAAAAAGTTATATTAAATTTCAACGGCGCGCAGCGCCGAACCGCCAGATAAAATGTCCGTAATGTGAGAAGGACAATTTTCCAAACTTGTTCACACTTCCCCCGTTCGTGAAACTTTTGTCCTACGAGTGAGAGCTCGTTGTGCGGAACTTTCACGGTTCCACACAATCGCCGGTATTCAGACAAGTTCCCTTCTTTTTCCATTTCGACGACTTTCAGTTTTAATTTCGAACCTCGTGTCTTCCTTCCAATCGAAAACTTTGAAAGTTCCACGCTACGTGCTTCTCCGCTACCACTTGCATTCACACTCTCTATTGCATGTCGTGGAAGATATTTAACGGTACAAAATCGTTGCGTTGATTTAATTACAAAGTGATGCTCCTATCACAAGTCGACTCTCAAGATCCATTGATTGCACTTCACGTCTCATGACATGTCTCAAGACCGCTCTCAGCCGAGGGCTCAATTTGAGGAACTCAACTGAAGCACCTCACACGAGACAAATCTCAAGTAACGTGTATATAAACACAGGTCTCACTGATGATGCGTAAATAAGCGTCTTGCATTGTAAATTCCGGCCGGCGGCTCGTCTTTATGCGCGTTCTCGCGCATCGGGACATTAATGACCGTCACTTCCGAGAGGTAAATTGAACGCTGTCTTTTAGGGCATGATCTATCTGCACGAGTCGGTCATAAAGTACCACGGATCGCTGAGCACATCGAACTGCCTGGTGGATTCGCGTTGGGTCGTAAAGCTGGCAGATTTCGGTCTCCACGAATTCAAACGTGACGCAGAATGCGATCCCTGCGACGTCATAAAAAAATATCACGGTGAGCACGATGGAAGATGGTGATCCTCGCATGAACCCCCCTATACTTCCATATTCCAAAAGTCTTCATGGTCTTCGACTGTTTTATGCCGGTCGTAATTTTCTAATCTCATTCGCTATTTGCATATACAGCGCACTCTGCGCGTCTGTTAACTTGTGAGAAAAAGAAGATTTAAGGCTTGTGTGCCAAAGTTTAGACTTTCAATCAAATTTTTTTATTAATATCAAAATCAATTTTATTAAATCAAATTTTTTTATTAACGAAACGATACACGTCACGTTCAATAAAAATATTTGCCATTATGTACTACTTTTTTTCTATACTTTTCAGATAATTGTCTGATTCTGTGTCCGCAGAATGACACATTTTTTTAATGAAATTGTCTATGTAATCCGAGAAAATTACAATTTTCTCATATAATCTGAGTCGCAAGAGACATAGACCGACGCTAACTTATAGTTATCTACTGTAATAACTCGTAAACGCCACATTATGGCATTAATTAACACAGTCATGCAACTTCCAGGATTGCTGTACAAAGCGCCCGAGTTGTTGCGCTCCACTGGTCTCGGTGAGCCGAGTGCTCGTGACTTTCAAAAGGGAGACGTCTACTCGTTCGCTATAGTGTTGTACGAGCTTCAAGGGCGGCACGGACCCTTTGGCATTACGCAGTTGTCGGCGGCCGAGATACTGAAGAAAGTAATCGCGAGAGATCCTGAAGCACCGCCGTTCAGGTAGATGATTAAACATTGTTCGGATAAAATGGATGTTTATTTCGAGAGGCTCGTGTGTCGTTTAACAGTTCTTTCATGAAATAATTGCAGACCACCTTTGGAGCAACTAGAAAACACCTTTGATTTTGTCCGCGACTGCTTGCTGGAGTGCTGGGCGGAAAATCCGGATTATCGTCCGGACTTCAAAGTGATACGAAATAAGTTGAGGCCGTTGCGGAAAGGCATGTGAGTTTTCCTTTATCGGATAATATTGCTTTGTTCATTAATATCAATCGTATACGCACGGAAATAAACGTGCTTCCTTCGTGCAGGAAAGCGAACATCTTCGACAATATGATGTCGTTAATGGAACAATACGCGAATAATCTCGAAGCACTCGTCGATGAGCGCACGGATCAGCTGACTGAAGAGAAGAAGAAAACAGGTCAGTCATCTTGATTAAGAAATCAATATTTTATTATTATCGTGGATAAAACTTCAATTCCCTTCTCTCTTTCTCTCTCCCTCTCTTTCTTTTCAGACGCATTGTTGTATGAAATGTTGCCGCGTTACGTGGCGGAGCAATTAAAAAAGGGACACAAAGTGGAGGCCGAAAGCTTCGATTGCGTTACTATCTATTTTAGTGATATTGTCGGTTTCACGTCCATGTCTGCCGAGAGCACACCGTTGCAGGTATAAATGCGGTATTTTACATGAAAATTACTTTGCCTAAAAAGTCGTCGCGCTTCATTTAATGATTTATAAGTAATAATACAACAATAAAGTATGAGTTCAAGTCGAACTCAATCTACTTATTTATTATGAATTATTTCGTTTATCATCGATCACGTAATGAAACTTATGAAAATTTCCTCTCCCAGGTGGTGGACTTCCTAAACGATCTGTACACGTGCTTCGACTCGACGATACAAAATTACGATGTCTACAAAGTCGAAACCATCGGAGACGCTTACATGGTGGTGAGTGTCATGAAATTAAAACCACTCGTAGAAACACTATCGTGACGCATGCAGATTAATTGCGAGACGTCGATTAAAAAATCATGGAATAATTTTATCGTTTTATGATTAGTTTTTATCAATCAATTGCGTTTGATTTTCCCACAGGTGAGCGGATTGCCGATAAGAAACGGTATTCAGCATGCTGGCGAAATAGCGAGTATGTCATTGTGCCTTTTAGATGCGATCAAACAGTTCGCTATCCGTCACCAACCGCACGACAAACTGCAACTGCGAATAGGAATGCATTCCGGTACGTTTTGAAAAAGAAAAAGAGAGAAATCAGGGAAAAATAAGACAGAGAGTCAAGCAAAAACAAATCTTACACTGAGAAGAAATATCTAAAAATTTACAAATATTTATTAAGTGAATACCATTAACATATTTACTTAAATAAAAATTCTTTTCATTTAAACCGAGCATTGTTTACTCGGATTAAATAAACAATACTCTGTTTAATGAAGAGAATTTTGTTTTAAGTAAATATGTTGATGGTACCCACCTAATAAATATTCGTTAATTTTTAAATATTTTTTCTCAGCGTACATATTCCGTGATATCGCGAATTAATAATGATCTTTGGTCAGGTCCGGTGTGCGCTGGCGTTGTCGGGCTAAAAATGCCGCGTTATTGCCTTTTCGGTGACACAGTGAATACTGCCAGTCGCATGGAATCCACGGGATTACGTGAGTGCTTTTTTATTTAATATATAGATGAATATTGAAAAAGATTAATAGCATATTGATATTACCAACGTTATTGTGGCGAGCAAATTGAAACCGGGATTTATAGTTTGCACGAATGAATCTAAATGTATCACCATTCCAATATAAACATCAATCAATGTGTGTGTTGCATGACACTCGCGTTATATTGTACATTTATATCATTCAGTAGGGAATTATGATATCGATGTTATATTATTGATAGTTTAATGAGTGTAATATTGAGACACAGCAATAATATATCATTCGCAATTTATATTTCACATCGAAGTTTTCGATACAAAAATGTTCTATTTCTCACGATCCGCAGCGTTGAAAATTCACTGCAGCAGCGAGACGAAGCAGTTGCTGGACGAGTTGGGAGGGTTCACCCTCGTCGAGCGCGGCGTGGTTTCCATGAAGGGTAAAGGCGATCGTTTGACGTACTGGTTGATCGGTGAGGATCCGATTCTACGCAGCCAGCGTAGCAAGGAAAGAGCGAACAAACGCAGCAAGAAAAACAGCGTGACCGATCCGTTGGTGCCGCGTAGCTCCTTGAAGAACAAATCCCTCGTCAGATCGACTTTCATGCGATGCTCCAGCGAGTCTCCGAAGCGGCTGCGATTCGCCAGCTCGGACCAGCTCGATCAGAAGAGCTCCAGGGTGAATAGCCAGCTGGAGTCAATAGTGGATAACAGTCCTTGCAAGACCAAGATCTCGTGCGCGATACGATCCTCCTGCATGGAGAGCTGGAGGTCCTCCAGCAACTCTTGTCCTTGCGTCGAGAAGCTCTGCTGCGATCAAGAGGCACAGCCGGAACTGCTGCAGCACGAGCTACCTGCAGACATCAAGAACGCGCCGTTGCTGCGCACGAACTTGATATTCAGCAACGAGCCGTGTCTGCCGCGAACCGGCACTAAGAGCCTGCGGTTCGGCACACCCGGCTTACTTCAGATCACCTGCAGATCCGCGCCGAGCAGTCCCAGGCACAGCACGATGGTGTTGAATTCCCAAAAGAGAGCGGCGCAGTCTAACGAGGAGATCGACGGATGGGACGTGATGACGCCGTTGATCTATTATCCGAGTGGTCGCCTGGATAATTGAATGAGTGGTCAAGTAAGAGCCCTCGATCGATGCAATCGATCGAGGGCTACGTGCATTCACACGATGACGAACGAATCCTCGTTGTTGCGTAGCTGCGTTGAGCAGCGCGTTTGCAAACGCCGAATTGTAGAAACCGCGAAGATGCATTCGCACGCCTAGCGCCTAGTATCTTTGTAGGGACAACAAGTCGGGACAACTCGTATGTCCTGCTAACGACATTCGCGAATTCGTACATCGATCGAACGTCATAGCCGCGCGTTAGATTGCCGTCGAGCGGTTTCTAACGGCGAGAGATCTCTCGCTCGCAGTAACGCAACGTACCAAAGCGCACTATAAGGTACAAACGACATACTTTACATATACACGTGTATCAGCGTATCGTTTATAGCTAATTTCCCATCTCTCTCTCTCTCTCTCTCTCTCTCTCTCTCTCTCTCTCTCTCTTTCTCTCTCTCTCTTTCTCCTCCCCTGCCCTCGCCCCCTCTTCATCCTCATGCAGGAACGCGTCAGCACGTAAAAATAGCATATTCTTTACATTAGCATAGACAAACGTAAAAGGCTCGTGCTTCTTATGCTAAGTAAGCGTCTAGTCAATGTTACTTTAAGCGTCGCGTTCAATTGTCTTTTGCATTTTCATGCGTTGTGTCGAATGTTATTTTCCCACGTGCGGAAGGGCTGAGTCTTCCGCAAACGTCGCGCGTGGACTCGCGCGCGAGTCGAACGTGACGATGGAAAAAGAAAAGTATTATTAATAATATTCTTATAGATTTTTCAGGAACGCTTCGCCGAATAAGCGCAAACGTATAATTTAAGAGGAGAATATGTACTTACGCGACGCACTTCTTCTTTTCCCACTAAGGAGGAGTGTACGTCAATATAAATATCGAAGAATAAAAATGCCTTTAACATCACGTTACTGCGTTGAGAGAGTTTCACGGGTTTCTTTAACTCGCCAGATATTCCATCGGGGAAAATTAACGATATATTGCTACTTTATCGTTTCGCTTCTCGGAGCATCATTGTGACAACACACACACACATCGAGTTGCCGTGCAATCGCGCACATATAAAAAATGCCAGGAAAAGAATGACTTCGTCAAAGAGCGCAGCCGGGGAGAAAGAAAAAAATTCGTAAAAAAAGATAAATATTTAGGCAAACATCAGAAGTGCATGAAAACCAATCTTTCAGGATAATGGCAAGAATGGCAAAAACTTAATTAGACAAACAAAGTTCGTTATCTTTCTTCCTTTCCTGTTGATATCGATTGATCCGCCGTCGAACAATTAATTTTGCAAGTTTCGCGTCCGACCGGGAAAACACGCCGTCGTTTCTTCTGGAATCCCATCGCAGTGTGCGCGCTATAACGCGCAATTAAATTTATGCAGCCGTCGCATGCAAGTGCAACGGCTGCAAACGTAATCCGACACACGCGAGCGGCGCGTGATAGAGAGCGGCGACGATAATGCACAAAGATCCATTAAATTATTATTACTGAGTAAATTAATTAAATGCGACTGGCGCGGGCGATTGCGCGTGTATTATGCGCATGCATATTCTCCTTTTATCTTGCATGCGCTACCGACTGTCGATCGACATTTGAAAAAGGGAGCAAAGTCGAGACGGGAGTCGACGCATCCGATGAATCGCGCGAAGGACGCCGATCGTAGCAGAAAAAAGGAGAGAGAGAGAGAGAAAGAAGAAAGACAAACAAGCAGTGACTTCAGATTATTCGCCTGAATAACATTTTTCTGCGATACTCACACGCGAGCGCTCCGTCGTGCAGAGGAGATTTCGCGTCGCTTGCACGCACGTATATCGAGCCATCGTCTTCCAGGAGCGCTGATTCCACACGTCGCGCCTCGAAATCCGATCGCGCTTTGATAGCCCGATTTCATGACGATTTTCTGCACGTTAAAATATACAAGAGACAGGCGTGATGGAAATATCGTGTTAACGGTGAACGCATTGATTTTTTCACGCAGTGCATTTCGTGGAATTCGCCGGTGAAAAGTGACGTGACAAGCAAATTCTCTCTTTTGCTTGAATCCTTGCATTTAGTTACGCATATTTTTATCATTCATGCTTCATTAACATTGCGTTTGCTCTAACTTCGCCCATCTCTCTCTCTCTCTCTCTCTCTCTCTCTCTCTCTCTCTCTGTCTCTCTCTCTGTCTCTCATATGCCCCAAACGGTATAATCCGCGGTTGAAATTGATTTATTTGTGCAAACGCAGCGTGACATGATGTGTCGTATCTTCGGGCATGCTGAATCGATCACCGCGCAAATTAGAAAATTCCTAGCAGGAATGAAAGGCTCTACATTAAAGCAACGGAATAAATTCACAATTCGATAGAAACATTTAAAACTTAAAACACATTGATGATAGAAAATGCTTAAAGATGTCTCTCCTCACTTTGGTTTGCGCGTTTCGTTACGCCGCGAGAACGCGTGACGACAAAGGTGGCGACGGTCCGTCCCGTCTTCGCCTACGTGCGAATGTACCGTGCAAATATACGAAGCTCTGTGACTACCGAATTTATTGCACGAATTATAACACTCGCAGGTACTCGCGATAAACTCGAATGAACGGCAATCGGAATCGATATTTCGATCGAAAAACCGCTGCGGGCTCGATGACGTGTTAATTATGTAAGAGATTTACCTGTTATTGAACAATATAGCAAAAACTTCGGTCGAGTAGCTCTGATAATCCTTCCTACTTCAAAGAGAACGAATCGCGATCGATACCGGCTGAATAATTCATGCGAGAAAATGATAATTATTCTTTTCATCGAGCGATATCTAAGATGGCGTCAATGACAACTCGCTGAAGTCTGCCGACCTCACGAGAATCCGTGACGCCTTGGACACCTTGTATAACGAGGCGATTCTTATATACAGAATGGGGTGCCGTCTTATTTACATTGAAGTGGTTGTCGGCCAACTTAGAGCGGTGGCCATCATTCAATCAAGCCGAACAATTTAAACAGCCCGATTCACGCAGCGAAATCATTTAATATTTGACGTCAAGCACGATTATCGTATAACGGTGCGTAATAGCCGTTTGTTTGTACAGGTTGCAAGCGGCGCCGTAATTTTCAAATGGCATATCTGCCCCCTGAGAACGACGTCGCCGAGCGTCGTCGTTAGCAATGTTGCAAAATTCGTCGCACACGCTCGGGACCGCGAGTTACACCGATGACACGCGCTCATTAAGTCTCTTGCACAATGCGTCGGTCGTCATTAAAATCCGGATGGAAATTCAAAATCTCGCGAGAGAACCGCCTCGTGTAACAAGCACGTCAAATGAAATTACAGCGAGCTCGAGTTTCTTCGCGAAAAGAATTTTTGAGAATTTTATCTTGTGTGCAACAAGTCTCGGAATCTCCTTATACTTGATTTCCGCTATTTCGGTCGACGAGACTCTGACCTTATATTCAAACTAGGCAACTTTGGAAACTTGCACACGTACGCTATGAGACAAAAAATATCTAAAAAATAAGAAAGTATTCAGTGATATATACCAATAATATACTGACTTAAGTCTAAATTCCCTTTATATTTAAACAGAATAGACAATTGCTTTCATGAAAAGCTAAGGTTTTAGAAAAATGCACATTTGTTACTTGAAAATTTTATATTAGTATAAATAAATACGTTATCAGTACGCACCGAATAAATATCTCTTATTTCTTAAATATTTTTCTCTCAACGTACGAAACCCGATAAAGTTGCAAGAATAGAAAGTCTGCATTATATCAATTGTGTTTACTAGATAACTCACAATATCTTAAGGATCATTAATTAATGTGATCATTAAGTATTCTTTTCTACTTCTCGCCATTTAATCACAGATTAAATAGCGTTTGTTCGTTTAGTCGACGTATTTGAATCACATGAAATGCAGTACGGTGAACGCGCCGATTGAAAGTGCCGGATTTATCGCACTCGTGAAATTAAAACAAAAATCATGGATATTCCGCGAGAATATCGTTCGAGATCGTTAAGAGATCGTAGGCTTCCATGCGTTAATAATAATCGTCGGCGGCGTAGCGTTATTCCGGCTTCACGCTCGAGCGCGTACGGTCTCTAGAACATGCTTTTATTAGGCTCTCCTTCTGCCAGCCGCGTCTATTTATAGACTCGGAATTATCTTCATCCGTCGTAGAAACAATACGGCTGTAACAAAAAAAAATGTCACGCGGGAATGACGATGTCCGCGGCGCGGTGCGACGGCGGGACGCGCATATCGCGGTTACTCCCCGTGAGGAATGAAACTCTCATTAGCAAATCGAGGAGCTCTTCTCTCCGGCTGTGAGAAGCCTTTGGGCGCAACAGCGAGCGCCCGGGAAAGGCGATGCAGTGACGCAATTTGAAAATTTCCTTCCGTGCGCGGCGACGAGACGCGATTCTATCTCGCGATCGCACCTGCGACAGAGAACGAGTTGTTGTTGTCCACGCACATGCGGCTACTTTACATAAGATATGCGCGCTTAAGACGAACTCAAAATAAACTCGTCGCCGCGATTCGACACGATCCCGACCGTCCGACATCGCAGTAATTTAGCCTGATTTTTATCGGCGCGATCCCGTGAGCGCGCGTACTCTCGATTTTCTCCGCGGTCGCACTCCAAAAACGCGACGGATTTAATCGAAATTACTTCTATGCATGCTTCTCCGAAAAGTCGAAATTTTGAATCTACTTCCGACCTCAATATTCCATCTATTTATTTAACATCTATTAACATCTATTTTTACACTCTGAAGCCTATATCAGCCTCTTTTGATTCTACACTGAGAGAAATTATCCGATAAAAACAACGGATATTTCCGATTGTTAATTTTTTATCGGGTAATACCGATGAATTTTTTATCCGATCAGGAAACATCTAATGAGAAATATCGATTCATAATTTTTTGATCGGTTTATCTGATGAAATGCTATTATGATCGGAAGTATCCGATTAAATTTAATCAGATATCCTGATCGGATATAAAAATTGATCGAAATTTGATCGGAAGTATTCGTTTGTTAATTTTTTATCGGATAATTTCTGTCAGTGTATTTAAGCTACTGTCGAAAAATCCTCAGTTAGAACTAGGCGGCATTTTCCATTTAGAGGCGCCAAGTAGGATTTCAATTTTCATGTGTATTATACTGATCTGTGAGAATATGCAAATATTTAGAAAGTTCAGATCCAAACGAATTTCGACTCGGGTCTTTTGTCATTTTTCATTATAAATATTTTTCTCAAGTCAGTTTTTCTCAATTACATTTCTGTGTAAGGCGTGAATACAAATTCTTCTTGCGGACTCGTTATTTGAAAAAAAAAATTAAGAAACTGATCGTCTTTTTGATTATTGTGTTCCTTGCGCTACTCGACACGCTGACGTAACGGTGCTGGACAAATAAGAGTTTCGCTTTGTCTATTTTTATCGCGTTGGTTTCTTTAAACGCTTATCGTTTCTCTTAGACACTTATGATATTTTGCTTGAAACAAAATATTGACTACTTGCAAAAACCGTTACGCAAAAAAATTCGCAAAATACTAGAACAACTAGCAAGAAATGTAAACTTGCACATCCCCTTCCATTGCCAACAGTTGTCGCCTCATCAATGAGCCCGTCTCACAGCCAAGATATTCGCGACCTTCAAGGTGGTCAAACTTACCTCTGTCAGACTTTTCCGAATGTTCTCATTCAGTTCCGAGTCGGCGAACGACGTGCATACCATGGACTACGTGTGTCGGTGTATTATCTATTGTTCTTCTATACAACCACAAAACATTCGCAACCTTCAAAATGATCAAACGCACCTCTGTACCTCGCAGACTTTTCCGAAAGTTTTCATTCAATTCTAGGCCGACGAGCGACCCATATCTCGGACGTGTGTCGCTGTGTGCGTTATCT